TCAAGACCTCTGTACCAAATATGCATTTATAGGTACTGCATTAGCTACAGGTAGCTCAAAGAGATACACCTGACACGCAAAGCCTAAACAAGGAGCTGAGCAGCCCACAGCAAGAGGAAGCAGTGCTGCTCTGGGCTGGACTGGGAGCAAGGCATCATGGGTAAGTAAGTGAGCACGGCTGATCTTGGAGAGGCAGGTGGCACTTACTGAACCACAGAGGGCGATTGTGTGACCCCTCAGAACAATGCCAGCGTGACATGGGTCGCTCAGGCCTCGTGCTTGCTGCACCAGTGCAGCAATCACTCTCAGCTAGCCACGGGAGCCAAGTGGAGTTGCTCTTCCTTCTGCTCTCAGAAGCATGGCCAGATCCCAGAAGACTGCAGTGTCCCCAGAGCGCTGTCCCCCTAACTGCTGGAGTCAGCAGGGACCAGAGCCCCCTGAGGAGCAGACAGAGAGGGGCTCAGGGAGGGCATGTGTTGGGGACAAGGAATGCAAAATACAACAGTCAGGGGCACAGGAATCCAGGCTTATACCTCCAAGACACAACAAAACCAAGGAAGCTTGAAGGGAGGGATTCAAAGTGGCGCCCAAAAGACACGTGATCCTGGGGGGGAGCTGTATCCTTCCTTTCAACTCCCTCCTGCATTTCAGTTACTGTGCCGTGTCCTGGGGCCTAAAGAATTGTGGTCCTTATTTTTAAAATGGTTGGGGCTAATGTGGAAGATAGAGCAGGGAAAAGGTAAATGACAAAGCAAGATGATGTGTTCTAGGATAGAAATACACACGGTGCCGTGTGAAGTGCACAGCACATATAGCTAACTCTGGAGGGAGGCAGGCAAAGGGTCTTACATGTTAAAAAGATGGGAGGAACAGCAGGTGCAAGACATTGAGTAGGGCACAACTTCAGAGCATGTGAGGGAAGATGGTGTTTCCAGTGCTGGCATGGTATGGAATTTTCCACTCATGGTGTTATGTCACAAAAAGTTCTGGATTTGAGGGCATTTCAGATTCGAGGTTTTGGATTAGAGATAGTCCATCTGCAAGCGAAGAGGCAGGCAGCATACCAGGCTGGGCTGACAGGAAATAGGATTTTCAACTTCCGGGCAATGTGAGAGCTATTGAATCATCTTCAGCAGTTATGTGACACAGGCTAATTCTCATCTAATACGTTTTCAACACAGAGCAGAGAGGGGCCACAGATAGTATGGAGCGGGCTACCCAGACACTTTTTAGGTAAAACTGACAGTCTGGGATCTTGATGGGATGGGCAGTGGAGAGCAAGCCCCCTCATGTAAGCCACACCCCCAAACCATTGAAGGCAGTTAGGAAAATGACTGGAGTGTCCCCTTCTGTCCCCACTCTTTCTCTTTCCTCTATTTCCCTAACTTGGCAATCACTGTATGGTTTTATTCTGAGTTTGGAGGGTGCTTTCTCGAAAGGAAAATCCCCTTGCTGATCATTGGAGCCATGACAAAGAAATCAGAAGGGCGCTCACGGCACAATGCACAGCCATTTGTACTATATTCTCTCAGCCTCCAGCCCTGAGTGCATGGCGACGCACAGGTGCGAGAACAGCCCATGCTGGAATGGAAATTGGCAGTGGGTTTAACTGCTGTTGTCTGCAAAATCGAAGGCTTTGTAACCTAGTTGATTAAAATAATGCCAGGTTCTTTCACTTAAGAGGTTCTTTGGTTTTAAAGAAAATTATAAACCAGTCCAGAATTATGAAGATACAAGCTAGCATTTTTCTTTCCCCCAGCAGTTTAGCAGCTTCCTAAGGCGTGGCAGTCAGGCCCTGGTAGATGGGAAAGCCTGGATAATACCTTGTACTGGCTGCCCATACTTCCTGCCCCTGTGGGGCCCTGTCTTAGACTTGGATCTCTTGGGCTGGAACCAAAGTCCAGAGAATGGGTAAGAAAATGATGGGGTTGGGGCAGGCAATGTGTCATAGTGCATTAATCCACAGCAGGCCAAACTGGAGTCCTGGCTACTCTGCTTCTGATTCAATTCCCTGCTAATGCACGTGGGAAGTCAGTGGGTGAGGTCTAAGTGTTTGTGTCCCTACCACCCATGTGGGACACCCAGAAGTTAGATCCAGGCTCCTGGCTTTGCCCTAACCCAGTTCTAGCGGCTGCAGGCATTTGGGGAGTGAACCAACGGATGGAGGATTTTTCTGTCCCTCTCTCTGTCATTGTGCTTTTCAAATAAGTACACCTGAAAAAGAAGAAAATGATGGGAGATGAAGGGGAGGTGATGGAAACAGGCAGGAAAGTCTTGACAAGTGTTCTGTGAGGTATGGAGAAGGAAGACCTGTGAGGTGGGGCCGTTCTGCTTTCTGCAATGACTGTGGCAGGTTTAGGGTTTGCATAGAAGAGCTGTGGAAAACACAAGAGAAGTCCATAAGCACAGCACTGACAACCTGCATGAGAGGAATTCAAAAAGCTGAAGCAAAAAAAGAAATTAAAAGGCAAGTTAATTTTGCTGCAAAAAAAATTTGAAATCCATGCATTTATTCAGAATGCGCATTTCCCACAGTTTTCTGAAGATCTTGCACAGTAAAACATTGCAATCTGAATATTTCATTTAGAGTATTGACTACAATTTAAATGATAAAACTTTCTAAGTTTAAGTTACAATTTAAAATATATAACATATAGCATGTAATAATTACTATATGGAGAGGGTCACTCATTAGACCAGTGTTGAACATAAAAAAAATTCTAGGCAAAAAATTTCTTGGAATATTTTTGGTCAGAGAATATGACTTAGAAAAACTGATGGGCAGAGAGATCTCCTACTTGCTGGTTCTTTCTCCTCAATTGGCTACAACAACCAGGGCTGGGCCAGACTGAAGCCAGGAGCCAGGAACTCCATCCGGGTCTCCCGTATGGAAGACAGGAGCCTAAGCACTCGGGCCATCCTCCACTGCTTTTCCAGGTGCATCAGCAGGGAGCAGGCTCAGAAGTGGAGCAGAGTCTTGACTAGCAACCACATGGGATGTCCATAATGCTACAACTCCTGCCACATTTGAGGACTTGAACAGCAACAAAAAAAGTGACCTTGATCTCTCCATCAAGTGCTGTGCGGCATCAGTGGCTTGGGGGCTTCATCACAGGGCATGACATGGGCTGCCCCGCTCTCCTGGAAGGCCCTGGGCTGGCTGAGCTGCCCTGGGGTCACCACTGTCGAGCCAGGGTCCTGTTTGAAGAGCATGCAAGCACAGCACAGTGGAGGCCAGTCAGGATGCTAAGGCTTATTGAAGGGGCTGACCCCCTAGGCCAGGGGGGACAAATGCTGCAGGCTGTCATGTTTGCAGGCTGTCAGCTGGGGGAGGAACCAAGGAAAACTCAGGAAGGATCAACCAAGGGAGATTTTGCTGTCATTTTCCATCACTTTCTGGCTGCATCACTGAGTGTAAGTACTGCATGAACACGTCCCTGCAGTTTACTTTTCCAGGGACTTAGTTACTCACTGCTCCACACAAGATGTGCTGCCTAAATTCCAGGGCTCCCCTGAGAACCCAAGCCAGTCACCCAACTCCCTCCCCTCATGGAGTTTGCAGCTGCAAGGAAGACACACCCTATTCCAGTACGACAGACATGAAACCTAGGATGTTTATGATGCACAACGGGGCTCCCTCAGATGTAACACCTGTGTGCTGTCCACAACCTGTACCACTGCTGCCAATGGTTCTAGATCTCCAGGGATCCAAAGGGAAAGGGAGAGAGTGACGTTTTCCTCCTTAAATTATTAGAGTATACTGAGGCATACAGAATGAGACACTATTTTTTTTTTCATTTTTTAGGTCTTACTCTAAGTAAATATAATTTTTGAAGGCTTACCCATCCTGCCTAGGTCTGCTCCCAGGGAGAAGTAGCAGGTTCCAAATGGCAGAAAGAGGCTGGCTTCTCTGCGGCTGGCTGGATAGGAAAGGTCAGCAAGAGTGGACACTAAAAAGGACTCATGTTTCAGACCTGCCATACAACATGAGACCCTGGGGAGCACTGCAGGCTGGTGTCAGGCCAGCCTAGCTCTATGTGCACCAGGTAGTATGAGAGGCAGTGCAGGCTGGGTGAGGAAGAGCTGTGATTCCAGCTGAGGGTTCTGGTGTGATGGTGATGAGAAGATACGCTCTACCCAAGGTTGCCTGAATGGAGTTGTGTTATCTTAAGCATTCCCATCTGCAACCAGAAATCTGCCAGTCTAGCGAGACTCACGGTTGTTTTCAAACATTCAGTCAACAGCAACACAGCAACACAATCTTCGTACAAACTACAAGACATCCTAGAAATGGTTTACATCCTGAATGCACACCTAGTTGCTCTCTTATTTTGTTTATATTTTCAATTTTTAAAAAAAGATTATTAAATTTTGATCTCTATTTCTTTGAGGGGTATTACATAAAGAGAGGGAAAGACAATGAGAGATCTTCTATCTGCTGATTTACTCCCTAAATGGCCACATTGGCGAGGGCTATGCCAGGTGAAAGCCAGGAGCCTGGAGCCTCTCCAGGTCTCCCACATGAATGCATGAACATACACACTCAGGCCGTATTCTGTTGCTGTCCCAGAATTGGGGCAGCCACATCTTGAACTGGTGCCCATATTGGATGCCAACACTGCAGGTGTTGCTTAACCCACTATGCCACAATGCCAGACCCTCCCCTCCCCTCCCCTCCCCTCCCCTCTCCTCTCCTCTCCTCTCCTCTCCTCTCCTCTCCTCTCCTCTCCTCTCCTCTCCTCTCCTCTCTTCTCCTCTCCTCCCCTCCCCTCCTCTCCCCTCCCCTCTCCTCTCCTCTCCTTTTCTTCCCCCTTATATTTGAAAAACATCACTCTTACAGGCTTTCTGGAAGATTCTGAGAAAAACACATTAAACCCCGCTGTGGTCCTGCGTCATCCTGGTCTCCATCGCACTCTTCATGCATCTAGCCTCTAATTCTGGCACCTGTATCTTTCAGGCATTCTGACAGACAGGCTGCAAAACCAGAGACACACACTTACTGCTGCCTGAATGGAAGATGATCTGGCTCCTTCATCCTCTTCCCCATCAGGTTCTTGCTCTTCATTGTCAGTCCAAGAAGATACGTCCTCTACCGAGCTGGTTAGATCAGGCAGGCTCTTGGATGTCAGCCTGAGGAGCTCCTCTGCAGAGTTCTCCTGGGGGGACACAAGGAGCGGCCCACAGGTTATCCTCAGGGAATGCATGGGTCCTCAGATGGACCTGGTAAGAGTCAGGCGATGAGCTCCCAACCCAAAGGCCCCATGGAACATGTGTTGTACCGTCGCAAGGTTGCCTCAAAAGTGAGACCATCCAACCCCGCTAAAATCTTGGCTAGGAAACCACACTTTCAAGTGGGCAGCAGGGGAAATGCCCAGCCATTTCCTAATTGGTTGAGAGACCACCAATGGGGAAGGTCTCCCTGAAGGTTACCACCCAGATAAGGAGGAGTGAGGAAGTGCTTAAAATCTCAGGACCTTTTCTAAAACCCTGGGGTTCCTCCCTTCTTCTTTCAAGAGACACCCCATCTCCCAGATCCCTCTTGGGAGGTGTGTTCCCCTTCCTTCTTCTTTTCCCATTCACCTGTTCACATATAAAACATCTCTATCTGCAACTGACTCCAGGCTTTTTATTTCCAGACTAAGCAAAGGAAAGGACCCACTGAGCTTCAGTGGTAGCACAAGTTAGGGGTGTAGAGCCAAGTTAGACAAAAACCATTTTCCTCCCGGAAGAGGTCAGTGTTCTGCAGACACTCTAACTTCTGCCAAGTCACCTTGGCTTCCATGCCCTTCTGGCTCCTCCTGGCCTCACCACCTGTCTCACAGGCAGCTCCCTCCGCTGGGTTCACCCTCCTTTCACGGCCAAGGCTTGGATGGGCAAGACCTGAGTATCTATTCCTTTGGGAAACCTTCCTGGGTCGCCGGACAGAGCTTTGCATTCACCTTTCCGTTCTTCTCTGATGTTCTGACAGTGCTTGTTCCCCTGCAGTGTGTGAGGTCAGTCTCCCCAGGTTGCCTTGGAATCCTTCCAGTCTAACACTATTTCTACTCGTGGCTGCGTCCCCAAGCCTAGCAACCACTCAGGTATGTATTACTTCCTCTTCCCCGACCCCACTGCATGCTCATCTCACTAGTACATGCTTATAAGGAAGAGATTACATTGTTTGATTAAAATGCCAACCTGATGATGATGATTCAAGGAAAGCAGCCCCGAATACCTCTGACGGGTCAGCAATGGCACAAGACCCAGATTTCATTCTCATTGGATTCTAAAAGAAGATTTACCAGCATAGTCCATCTTCCCTGTGCAGATATGGCCCGAGCAGGTTGTGATGCCAATGAGACTGTTTAAGATTTATTGTTTATTTTTATTGGAAAGGTAGATTTACAGAGAAAAGGACAGAGAGATCTTCCATCTGCTGGTTCACTCCCCAAGTGGCTCCAATAGCCATTACTAAGCCAATCAAGAGCCAAGAGCTTCTTCTGGATCTCCCACGTGGGTGCAGGGTCCCAAGATTTTGGGCCATTCTCCCCTTTTTCCCAAGGTACAAGCAGGGAGCTGGATGGGAAGTTGAGCAACCGGGACACGAACCAGCACCCCATATGAGATGCTACACTTTGGAGATGAAGGATTTGCCAGTTAAGCCAATGCTCTGGTCCTGCCAATGAGATCTTGAAAGCCTTGTGATAGTCCCAGCTGCAAATGAGGAGCACACAGGAGCTGAGAGTTCTCCCAGAAAAGGCCACAGCTCAAGGGCTGGTATCCAGGGAGGGCTGGCTGCAGGGCTGCTCAGCTACCCCAAAGCCGGTCAAATGACCACTATGTTCCCTCTTCATTCCTCCCACCAGCTATTTCCACAAGGACATATGCAGAAAGTCTGAATCATCAGGTTGCTTGAGTAGTGGCAGGATAAAGGAAAACGCCTGCTAAACATATGAACTTTACAAGCTTTTGGTGAGTTGGCATCCCTGGACAATGATGTTGTTACTATTCTGATGTTGGCTCCCTCTTCAAGGTTCCTGAAGATAATTCACTTTAGGTAAGTGATGGTGCCTACAGAGCTGTCAGTCCATATCCACATGAGAGGAAGAGGAGTTAAGAAAGAAAAAAGTTAAGGCCATTGTCTTCTGTGGGTTTCACCCCTGCGTCAGATTCCTGACACCAGCTTCCTGCCAGTGCAGAACCTGGGGGGCAGTGGTTATGGCACAGGTAGCTGGCTCTCTGCCACCCACACAAGAGACCTCAGTGAGATTCTTGGCTTCAGCTTTGTGCAGCCCGGCCCAGATCTGGGTTTGTGGGTAATTGGGGAATGAGTGAGGGATACTCCCTCTCTTTCTCTGCTTTTAAAATAAGCAGTTATTTTTACAATGCACATAGAAAATTGAATTCTAGGGCATATTTATTTTGGTACAAAGTATTTTGAAGTTCATGCATAGTTTTGTCATCACACCTATTTTTAATGATCTTTCTAAAGTTTCCTTGTGGTGCTTCCAGTAAAATGAAAAGTAACTTGGACACTCTGAGTTCATTCATCCTGCAAGAACCTCCTTTGCTCCTCCTACAAACCAACAACACGTCTGTAGACCCAGCATCCTTCTCTCCACAAAAAGGTAACTGCTGTATTTCAAAAAACAATGCTGTAGGGTTCTGTCACAGTTAACTATTATGTACCATAGCAATGAACATTTTCATTATTCTTCACATTTGGCAAGTCAAAATCTGCCCTCCATTCTCTTCCAGTAGTGGACAGAAACAAAACCTGTGGATCACTTATTATTGTTGGGAGAAAGGAGGAAGAGATGCCCGGAGCCACCTGAGACTGATACTGTCTTCTCCTGCTACCTGGGGAGCCCTAAGATGGCGGCCAGTAAGGTCAGGAGTGAACAGCAGCAGGTGGCATAGCAGTGTTTTGTCTAACTCTATAGGCAGATGGGAAAACAATCACACCTCTGAAATCTGGGGAAGCTGCCAGAAGTGTAGTTACAGACCTGGACTGGACTCCCATTCTTTGGCCACAGAAAGCTGCTCAGCTTTATAGGGACCCCAGCAAGGGGTCCTGGAATCAAAGCTTCTGGTGGGATCATATCATTTCCTCTCAACACCACTAGCTCTGGTGTCCTTTGCCTCATTTGCTTGGTGCATGACAAGGGAATTCAGCCAAGCACCCTTATGTATCATCTATGGATTGTGCACCCTGGGGAAAGGTAACCACCTGGATTAAAAAAAAAACAATAGGAAAGGCAGAGTGATAGGGGTATAAGGAGAGAGAAAAAAGGAGAGAGGGAGAGAGAAAGAAAGAGAAGGGATTCTGGGGAGGTAAAAAATTATCTTCCCTTTTCTGGTTCATTCCCACATGGTTGCAGCAGCCAGGTCTGGGCTAGGCTGAAGCCAGGGGCCAGGAACTCTACCCTGGTCTCCTAAATGAGTGGCAGGGGCCCAAGTACTTGGACTGTATTCCATCTGCCGTCTCAGGTGCTTTTCCAGGCTGTGGAAGCAGAGCAGCTGGGGCTCAAACCAACACTGATATTGGACAACATTGTTGAAGTGGCAGCCTAGCCAGGTGAATCCTAAGACTTTGATTTTTAAATTTTTTAAAAATTTATTTTTATTTAATTGAAAGGTAGAGATAGAGAGTAGCAGGAGGTAGAGACAGAAAGACACACACCAGAGAAAGAGAAAAAGAGAGAGAGAGGCAGGTGGGGGAGAGAGAGAAAGTCATATTTTATCTTCTGGGTCACTTGCCCAAAGCCTGAAACACACAGGGGTTGGCTAGGCTAAGCCAAAGCTAGGAGCCCAGAATTTAATCTGAGTCTCCCACATGGGTGCTAAGTTCTGGGGCCATGAACTGTTGCCTTTCAGGACATGTATTAGGAGGAAGCTGGTTGGGGAATAGCGATGGATCTTGAATTCAGGCACTCTAACATGGAATGTGGCATCCCAAGAGGCATTTATCTGCTATATTGAATACCACCCCAATCATTTGGATTTTAATTGCTCTCCTTGTAATTATATACAATGGCTAACCATCCTCTCATGCACTTTAAATCATCTTACTTACAACACCTAACACAACATAAATCCTATGTAACAGGGAATAATGACAAGAAACGTTGGTGCCTGTTCAGTACAGATACAATTTTCCCCCTAGATACTGTCAATATACAGTTGCATGAATTTACAGAGGCAGAATCTGTGGCTGTGGAGATCCAGCTGTACTCCCCAGATTGGCAATATACCTTGTACCGTAAAAGGGAAAATACATGAAAGCCTACTGATGCTGAGTTTGAAAGCAGCAACAGGAATAAAGGAGGATTCCCAGACTGGCAAGAGTAGGATGCTTGGAAGAACTCACGTGGTGTGGTTCTCCACCAACTCTCCCCCCATACCTCCCAAAATTGAGAGGAGCCCCCGAGGGTTCCACTTCCCTCACTCTTCATGAACAGAAGAGTTCAGAGTCTCCCTTTTCTCTTCGCAGTTCTGCACTTTCACCCTGGCGAGGTCAGAGCAGTGCCAACACTGGGGACCAACATGGACACTGTCTGCAGGTTGGAGTAAGAGATGCCCTAGCCCTGGGCCTCCACACTTTGTGAAGAGAGAGAGCCAGAAAGAAGAGACGGTGGCAAGACTGGACTGACATTGGGCTGCCCACCTAGAGTCTAGGTACTGCATTGTGGTCCCTGAAAGATGGTGGTGAATGTGGGAGCCCTGGCTCACTGCCTCATCTCTAAAACCAGGATGATAGATGGGGGTAGGGCATCACAGGGTGCCTGGGCAAGCAGGAGTCACAGGATAGATGGTCAGCTTTTTGTTACTTGAGCCAAATGCCTGGGAGGAGCTTCTTAGGATGAAGAGGGTTCCCGTGAGCTTATAGTTGGAGGGCCACAGTTCAGGCCGTGGCAGTCCCCTTGGCTATCATCTGGGCAAGGCTGGCAGAGGAGGTGTGTATGAGTATACAGATGACATGCTCATCCAGCAAAGAGATACACATGGAACACGCTCCTCTTCACCACCTCTGTTGCCTCTCCTTGTGATGCCATCATGATGGGTCTCGGGCTCCACCCTGGCAACTGAATGCTAGCCAGTCACTTCCCAAAGGCCACCAACTGGGGTCAAGGCTCCACCCTGACCCTTTAATTGTTAACCCAAGACATGGGAGTTAAACATCTTTGCGAGCTTGGGGAGTCAAGACCCATTCAATCCATGACATGCAAGGTTGTATGAACCAGAGCCAAGGCCCGCAGCCACACCCTGGGCCTTTCTGCCTTCAGGACCCAGAAGATGCGACCCCCACAACATCCCCCTTCCTGTCCCACCACCTGCCACACTCCAGGAAAGGAGCTGTGCTCTCTCCACATGGCCTTTCCTGCCCCCAGTCCACTCCTACCCACTCCTTAGTTCTAGTGTTTATTTTTCAACCCCTAGTGTATACCTAGAATGACTCTTAAAGAAAGCAAAATTATTCAATGTACTTCAGTGAGGGCCTCTGCATGGGCTCTCCTACAGTATCACAGCTGTTGAAATGGCCCAAGGTAAAGGCGTGGGTACACACACACACACACACACACACACACACACACACACGTGTGTGTGTCATAGATAGGACTTAAATACAAGATTGCCACCACCATTGAGAATGTTCGAAACAACCAAAACCAACCTACCTTGCTGGCCACCACCAGCTGCACCTTTCCGGTGGCCGAGCGCAGAATGGCCACGGCTTCCTCGTGGGACAGCCCAATCAGGAGGTGACCATTGATCACCAGCAGCTCATCTCCTAAGGACAGTCTGCCATCCCTGAGGAAATGGAGATGGGGAGAGATCCCTGGTCAAGATGTGCTGGGCCCAGGAAGGGGACATTTGCTTGGAATCGGGGGCAGTTGTGAGAAGAGACAGTTAAAACTGAGGCAGCAGGGGAGAGCTGGAGGAATTGGAGAGGGCACAGATGTGCCTCTGTGCTCAGACTCCCACTCCAGTAGTTAGCACCAGAGCCAGGGTCAATGTCGTTGCAATTTCTATCCAGGTGGGGATGGGGACAGAAGAATCAGACCCCAAGGTTTTAGGGAATTGTATTAATTTTTTTTCTCAATCCCACCTGTCATCTTGCGCTCATCAACACACGGCTGTCCTTTGCCCCCAAAGAGCCAAGGGATCTAAGCCCACCAGCGGGCTCTTCCTAAACCACTGATCCTTCTCTCCTGGATGACATCACCATTACCAGATTCCCCCTGACACACTGCTACACATGTCTGTAACCCCTTTTCCCAGCCCAGATTTGCCACACCTTGAGGGTCAAGGTCACTGGACACCTTCTACATTCTTGGACCTCCGCAGCCAAGCTTTATATACAGAGGAGGAATAACCAATCAATCAGTCTACCTAACATGTAGTTGTTGCAGGTGTCAGACAGACCTGGGCCACAACTGTGAGCCTGCTAACATTTCCTGATTCCCTACTTCCTCGAAGTGAAATGAAGGCTGACCCTGAGTTTCCTTCGTCTGGGGTGGGCAGGAAACCGAGTATTCTTCAGTCCTAGTGGGTTGACATGGACATGCAAAGATCTGACTCTCATGATCCCAAAGTACCCAGAGAGCGCTAACAATGGGACAGGGAATCTGCCAGAGAGAGACGTCAGGCCTGCTGGTGCAGCTTGCCCTCTGAGGAGGACACACCAGCGCTCAGGGTGTGGCCGAGAACCCAGGGCTCCCAGCCTCACCCTGCTCTCTTCTGTCCAAATGACAGACTCTCTTGTCTTACTTTTAGTGACTCAAGCCATGTCTATCCTTTCGTGTGTGCTGCCTTCTGCATCTCCTCTCTCTCTCTGCCTCCTTCCTCATCTTATCCATGAATGTAACAGAAGACAGGAGGCACCAGAGACTTCCCACACGATCTGTTTCACACCATTCACAGCCTCTGAGGCAGAGAAATGCAAAGTCCCACCAAGATGCTTGAAATGGTGAGGGAAGGGGAAACGGGAAGAGACACACTGGAGCCTCCAAGAGGCATGTGGGTCATTCCAGAGGTGTTTCTTTCGGGAGGAGGGGGATTTGCACGTAAAGAATTTGTGTCCCTGGGTTTACTCAGCCACATCATCATCAAGAACATCCCCTCTGCTTTTCCTACTTTCCTCTTTAGTTTCAGTTCTCTCATCTCTGGCTATTAACGACAGTGCCCGCTCCTGAACCACACACCCCAGAAGCACAGACACCAACACACACTCTGGGTTAAGAATGAAAAGCAAATGCCGAGGCCCACAGCAAGTGGCTGGCATGGGCACAGACAAGAAGAGTTCTGCAGAAGCTCGGCTCTGGGCACAGGAACTTGCTCATTGCCAACTTGCCAAAGGCATGCTAGACCTCAAGCCCTAGAGTTAGATGGGTACCTGGTGGAAGCTCCGTAAGGCATATGTCCTTTGGGAAGTTCAAGAGTTTTTTGAGAAAAATCCATCTGAATGCTGAATGCCTGGGACTACTGTTGCCCATATAACTGATAATCGCAATTACTCCTTAATTGTTAGCAACACTTTGCTGATTTTTCTTGCTGTTGCCTTTTGCAGGCTAAATATGTTCTTCAAGGGGCATGTCACAAGATTGGTGAACTGCATTCACCTATGTACACACATTTAACTGCTGTGTAAGTGGGCATGCAACATGTGCATACACCCAACCATGCCTGGCAGTTTGTGGACACAGTATGTATACAGAAGCAACCAGTTGGCAGGTCAAGGCCATGGCTGCTCTCAGGAGCTAGCTACACTGCTCACATTCAAAATGAACAAAACATTATCCCAGCTGCTGGTCATGTTTAGGTTACAAGAAACATTTTCCAGTAGGAATCATTTTCTCTGTCACATTTGCATGGCAGGACCCATGTTAAGTGTGCATGTGAGATTCTGGTATACTGACATAAAAAGACACACCCAGGGAGCTTGGGGTCACACTGGGCAACCAGTTGCTTTTGTGGCCACGCAAGCCATCAAGGTTCATAGCGATGGCACCAGTGTCCCTACAGCCAAGGTGAGACACATCTGCTTGAAACTGCAACGACTGGAAGGAAATCCCGACTCTCCCTCCGGGTTGGGAAGACCCCACAGCACCCCCTCCCCACTGCCGCCACCCTGCTGTCAGCCAGCTCCTGTGCCCAGAGACGCACTCAGCTAGAACTGTGCATTCCTCCCACAGGCAGTACGGGCAGTACAATCCTAGTTTACTGTAACCAGCGGGACCAAGAGCTGAGGGGGAAGGGAAGTGGGCGGCAGAGAGATGGGGAGAGATTTCTAGTCACCTGTGAGCGGCACCTCCTTCCTTCACTTGGGTGACAACGATAGCGTGAGGTGAGCGCTTTGATCCTCGGCCTCCACTAACCTGAATTCCCAGCCCGTCGGAGTCTTTGAGCAGCTCCATCTTCCATATCCGGCCAACTTCCTCCTTGGAAGAAAAAGTGAGCATACCGTGAAGGATTTGGTCAGACACTTGTCCCTGATGTGGGGGACTGGCTAGCTGTGGCGGCAGCCCCAAAGCCGTCGTTGGTCGGCCTGTATCTCCAGTTGTGTGGGTTGGACCGCGGCCTCATGCTGGCCGAACTGTCTGAGACGATGAGAATACTTCCACAGCGGTGCCAGCTGACCCACGTGCCGCGATGCCTGGGATAGGACCAGGGGCAGCTGAGGAACTGCACTGCGACCTGAGAGGGGACAGGCTAGCAGGCTGGATGACTGGATTTCCTGAGCAGGGGCCTGGCGGTTGGCACTCTTGCCTGACACCCCGATGCTAGCGTGTATGTAAACACGAGCAGGGGCTGTGTTCTATTCAATTCTGCACACTCAGTAATGGAGGAGGACGTTGGGGTCTTGGTATCCAGGGACTTTCATGAGTCCAAACCCAACCCTGCCATTTAGAACTTACAAAAGGTACTTAATGCCTAAAAATCCCAGCTTCCTTGCTTAAGGTAGGGAATATTATGCATATTCCAAGACTTAAATAAGATTCTTATGGAATCAGGCAGTGGCACAAGACCTGGTGGAGAAGGAATAAATGTGGTTAAATAACCACATGTTATTCAGGTATTCAGATATGTGCAAGGGTGTTACAACCTCAAAACTTCCTTAAAATATATAAATGAGATATCTGGCTAAAAAAAGATCAGAACAAAAAAAAATCAATGGATTTTATATTTACTGCTACAGACGTCAAAACAAAAAATCAAACCCTACTTCAAGCCCTGAAAAATCTAGCCTTTTAAACAAGCTAATAGATGTCTTACACTGAGTGGCTGCTCATGGCTTGCTGGCTTTGATTTATTCTTAACTCCCTCTATCACTCCAAAGACACAAAGATGGAGTCACGGAAAAATAATAAGGCTCCTTCAGATTCTAGGCTGCTGAGAGAAATGAAAGCAAAACCTTCCAAAGTGATTTATTTTGGGGTGCTGGACCCGATGGCTCTTCTTAGTCCTAGTTACATGGACACAATTCACAATACATTCCTCTATAGGGAGAACGAGAACCAGCTGCTGCTTCCGCCCCTCCTGGAGGGCTGACAGACTTGCCAATGTCCAGGATGGACAAAGTCACCATGCCCCTAGTAGCAGGCAATCTGCCCACTGAAGCTGCTTGTGAAGGCGGGAGAATGTGAAGCATTCAGAAAATCCAAGACACACACACATAGAAACAAAGATGACTTCTTACGCAATGGGAAGAAAACCAGATGTGGAGCCGTCACACATACGCAGCGTTAGGAATGTCTGGGGCAATGACACCCAGACAGAGACCTGGTGGATACTATCCTTTTTCTAGAACTGTGCAGCTCGTTGGAGCCTCATTATTATAGCCACATATAGTGGTGCCAACTGTCTCCTCTGTCCGTGGACCACAAACGAAGCCCGTCTGGCCAAACGTAACTTCAGAAGTCGCTGGCTTACCACAGTAGTTCATGAACTTGTCAACGAGCCCTATTTCATCTGATCATCTCACTTTGGACTCTGCGGGTTTTGGTTTACTGCCTTTGACCTCTGGAACACCTTCCTCTTCCCCATTCAGAAACATCCTCCCCAGTTCTCCAAGTCTCTTTGGCTCCTCTGCTTCCAAAAACACATTCTTGGCAGTTGGTGAGACAACCAAGAGGGTAACTTCCACCGCTGCTAATACATGAGATCCTGTGGCCTGGTGGGTATCGTGGAAAAGAACGTTTTGGGATGTAGCTTAGTTCTTGTGTGGGCTTGCTGGGCCTCCCACACCAGTAACCCTGGGACTGCTTCTCTGGTCCTTACCCTGCACCTGGGAAACGTCAGCAGGGCAGCGGCTGGGCATCTTTCCCATGGAAGATCTGCAGAGGAACCTCGGGTTGAACAGATGAGACCATGCTTACCCTGTCCCAGGACTGAATGGCTGTGACTCTTTTTCCCAAGAGCAACTGCAGCCCTGGAGGGAGCCCAGCATCAAGAAAACCTATCTGGCTTCAGGTTAAATTAATGAAAATTTATCTAATCCCATTATAAGTTCACATCACCATTCTTTCTGTTTCCTTATTTGTTGACATTTTGTTTGCTAAGCAGAGCAGTTAAGTATGGCTCATGGAGGGTGTGACAATACTAGGTACTTCCTTGTTTTAAATTGCATTTAGAAATGAAACTTGTAGGGCGAGCATGTTGGTTCAACTGGCTAAGCCTCCACTTCCAAGCCAGTTTGTGTCCTGATGCTCTACTTCCCATCCAGTTCCCTGCTTGTGGCCTGGGAAAGTAGCAGGGGATGACCCGGCCTTGGGATCCTGCACCCATGTGGGAGACCTGGAAGAAGTTCCTAGCTCCTAGCTTCAGATTAGCTCAGCTCTGGCTGTAGCAGCGACTTGGGGAGTGAACCAGCACATGGAAGATATTCGTCTGTCCTTCTCTCTGTAAGTCTGCCTTTCCAAAAATAATTTTAGGAAAGATTAAATATTTTAAAAAAGAAATGGGACTTGTGACAAGAAATATGCAAATCTGTGTTCAAGTGTATAATGGCCAAGTGTATATACTCTGACAGTTCATGTTGAGAACACCCACTACCTGTTTTACCTTCCTTTCCCAGCCCAACACACACAGGCTAGTAAAAAGAAACCAGGAGTCACACAAGTTGCAGGGTCACTTGCAATATCAACATTCCATATCAGAGCTCCATTCCTTGTCTTGGCTGCTCTACATCTGATCTATTCCCTGCTCACATGCCTGGGAGAGTTGTTGATCATATCCCAAGTAGTCAGGACCCTGCCACTCCTAGGAAAGATGCAGATGTCATTCTTAGCTCTTGTATTCAGCCTGGCCCGGCCACAACCATCGTGGCCATTTAGGAAACAATCCAGCAGATGGAAGAGCTCTCTGTGTCACTCTTCCTTTCAAATAAGTGAACTTCAAAACAAATCTAATAAAAATGACTTCAGGGTTGGAAATGACTAGTCTGCCATATGGTACTGGTCAAGAAACACTTTTTCATTGTTATTCATTAGCACAGTTCCCCGCCCCACACACCCTAGAATTGAAAGTAGAAGTTGTAAGAAAAGTGTTCAAAGAAATGAATGAACATTTTCTTGCCTTAGAGTTTCTTGGTCATGTAATGTAGGAGCTCAGAGGAGTATAAAGATGTCATAGGCAGCAAAAGGCAAATGTTATGTTTTAATTGTATGATTTTGAGCCTTAAATTTAGCTGCCAATGAATAAAGCAAAGTTAGAAATAAAGCCAGGGAATAAAGTTTATTAGGCCAAAGCTGGTGCTGGTTAGATGCCATGAGCCTAACTTAAATACAGCAATTTTAAGTGCAACTCCAATTGCCTCCTTCCAGTCACACATGGGTACTTGGCACACATCTCAGGATGGTTAAATCAGAACTCTGTCCTCCTCCCACTCCTGACTTTGCCACCTTATTGGATCAGCACTGCCATCTACTCAAGCTAAGGATGACACACAACTGAAGTCCAGGGGTTATCTTTGAGTCCCTCCTCTATTTTACCTCCTACAACTGAACAGCACCTGCAGGCTGTTTGCTCAATGGAGCTCACATCTAGTGATCGCCTCTCACTACCGCCCGGCCCCCCTACCTCCCATGCCATAATTATCAAAGCTTCCAGTATCTTCGGCTTGAGTGACAACTCAATATGGCCTCCTTTCTTGTTTGTTACCTCCTACAGTCCATTATTCTTTATCAAGCATTCTATAATCATGAGAGAGAGAGAGAGAGAGTGAGAGAGAGAGAGAGAGTGTGTGTGTGTGTGTGTGTGTGTGTGTGTGTGTGTGTAGGATGAGCTGGGTGATGGACTAAGTTGGACCCCATACTGGCTAGCACACACAGGAGTTAGGTCTGCAGTCACCTCAGGTGAGGTTTCTTTGGAGTCCCCCAAACCCTCACAACTGAACCACTAGACTCAGAACTCCAACCACAGGGAGAATCACATGGTCTGTGGTCTGACCGTGGAGCACATGAACTGGGCCTTCTCAGATGCTTAAGACGCTGCAGTGGACAGCATGCCCCGATATACGTGGGGGATATGGCAGTCCACTGGGGCCTGCAGAGGACACATAGTACCACAGCAGAGGAAAGAGGGCACAACAAATTGCACAACTCTCTCAGACAAGCATTGACAGCAAGTGTTTGGGTGAGAGGAGACTCTAAGTTGGACTATGTCAAATAATGGACCCCAGAAGGATCTCCTCATCCTTTGATCAACAAAAGCAACAGTATTTCAGAATTATCAAAACCACTTGAGCAGTATTCTCGGAGCATGCTCCACACAGGGGAGTCTGGGATGACATCGGGTGGGTGTCCCTCATTTTTAGATACTGATGTGGTTAGGATGCTAGATTTAGCTTCTCCTTTTCTTTTCCCCCCTTTCCCCAGATATGGGAAGAAGAAAAAGAAAATTGGAAACAAATCGTCTCATCTACTTTCCCTTTTTCCTTGACCCTTCTCACCCTTATCAGTGGCCTACATGGGCATGCATTGTTCTCAACTATGTAAACATCACCAAAAATAAATCTTATATATATATATATATATATGAGGAATATCTATCTATCTATATATAGGAGGAATATATATATATATTATATATATATGAGGAATATCTATCTATCTATATATAGGAGGAATATATATATATATATATTGAAATTGAAAAAAGCACACATCATGGTGCAGTGACTTCAAGTCCTCCAGCAGCTCCCTATTGAACCAGGCCTGCTACCCAACTATGATAGCACACACAACCCCTCCCACACCTACACATCATCAACCACCGTTCAGCTTCTTTGCTTCCCCGCCTTGGGGCAGGTGGTTTTCTCAGTTCTTCTTTGGGAACATTCTGCCCCCAGATTTTGCAAGGTTGCCCTTTTCTGACACTCGGTCCTCCACTGAAACGTCACCTCTGTAATGAGGTCTTCCTTTGCTGACACCCAGGATCC